GTGACCATTTTTGATATTCTTTATTAGCCATTTAAAACAGAAGAAGGTAGTCTCTCATGAAGCAAGTAACTCATGCGCTTCTTCTGAGCCATTTCTTGAGGGCTCCTTTCTCATTTCTGAGTCTCTCAGCTGTACTCACTCCGAATGTATTACTCTCTCTCTGTTCCTTATTTCCTCCCCATTTTCCATACCCTGCACACACACTCACACACACACACACTCTTCCATCCCTACACTGTCGCTCTCACTCAATACTTGGGTTTATGCCGCCCTTTATTGCTAAGGTTGCTGCTGCTATAAATAGCAGGTTAATATCATTTGTTTTGGCTAATCAAATACAATAAGTACCTTTCAGAAGATCAATTAATTGGAAGAGATTAGATTCAATTCTTAAGGAAGCAAGTTTGGCATTGTTTTTGGTTTTCTTATCGTCTATATAATTTGCTCCCATGCAATCTTTTTCCCCCCAGTGTAGGAGAAACCTTCTCTTGCTGTCTCTTGGAATCCCTTTTAGTAAGGGACAATGTTATTTTCCCTTCATGCTGTCAGTCTGCTCCTTAATAGCTTGATTATTTTTTAACGATGTATGTTCTCTTGTTTCTCAAGTGTTTAGACTCAGATGAATGACAAGTGGTCTTCCTGTTCATCGAGAGATAGTTGCCAATGTTCCCTGAAGCTTGGAAACAGCTAGCTCTCAACTTGTAACATTTTACAAATATTACTTAGAAAGATGGGCTCTGAACGATCAGAATTCCTACAAATGCATTTCAATTGATTTTTTTGGCCAGAGGAGCTTTATCCTCTCTCAAGAGATTTATCTCAATCACTCAGCATTATGTTTCTCCTGGAAATCCTTTACTCCAACTGCACACATCTGAATTTCTACATTAATAATCTTGCACTCGCTTTTGCCATAAGATCTAATGATCTTAGACGTCTCTTAAAAAAAAGAAAAGTTGATATTCTCTCTCTTCAAAAAGATTGCAGAAATGGCCATCCATATGATGCCATTTGTCAGTTTCTTGATAAGACTTTGCATTTACCTAATGTCCAATAATTAGGGGCCTAATTTATAGAGTCTACTTATTCATACACGTCTACATGCAAACAACTTATATGTTGTTAGGCATTAAGCTTTATCTATGTATCCAGCAAACATCCAATGATTACTTACTGTGTGTTAGGCACTGTGCTAGGTGCTGGGGGTACAATGATGGAGAAGGTGTATACAACCCCTGTTCTTCCAGCTGCCAAAGTCTAGAGAAGATACAGAGAATCTGAGCAAACAAGTGCAAAAGAGGGTGGTAGCTACTATGATGTGGCAAGTGCAGGTTGCTAGGAGAGCCGGGAGTAACATCGATGATGGTGATAATAGCCAACTATGTTTAACACTTCTATGTCCTAACAACTCTATGACCTTGGTACTTATTATTACCTCCTTTTATAGATGAGGAAACTGAGGCACAGAAAAATTAGGTAACTTGTCTACAGTCCCCACAACTAATAAGTGGCAGAGCCAATATTTAGGGGCACCTGACTCTGATTCAGTGACACGGAGAAGGCTCCTGAGAGGAAATGGTGTGTAAGTGTGGAGGTAACAATAGGTAGGCGTTTTTAGGGAAAAGGGTTAGAAATGACAGAGCCCAGACAGAGGAAATAATAGACACAAATCCTGGTATTAGGGAAGAGCTGATGATGCCCAAGGCACAGAAGGAAGTTTGATTTTGGTAAGTGGGGGTTGAACGGGAAGTGGTGAGTTACCAGGATGGAGTAGGGGCCAGACTGAGTGGGATGCTAGTCCCTGTCAAAGGGCTTAGAATTCACCCTAAGATGGGTAGGAAGCCATCTGAAGCAGGAGGGTGACTTGATCAAAACTGTTTTCAAAGCTTCTCTGGTAGTGGAGTGGAGAACTGATTCACAGGAGTCCCGTCAGATGGCTGTTGCAGTAATTCAGACTAGAGATGACAGCGGCCTGCCCTCGGATTAATGGCCGTGGACATGGAGAAACAGGGAGACCTGAGAGATCTTTGGGAAGCAGAGTCCAAGAGAATGGATGACATGGGGGCTGGAGAAGAGAAACTGGTACTCTTGCTTGGTGAACATGTGGCTATTGATACCAGAGTAAGGGAGTGAGTGGAACAGATTTTGGGCATGTTAAGTTTTAGGAGCTTGTGCTTGGAAGACAGTAGGCATTGGCGGGGGGAGGGTATAGCTCAGTATAGAGTGCATGCTTAGCATGCAGGAGGTCCTGGGTTCAATCCCAGGTACCTCCATTAAAGAAACAAATAAACCTAATTACCCCCCTCAAAATAAAATAGAATAAAACACTCATGACTGAACAGAATTTTGGAGAGAGGACATGGCTCAAGTGGTAGAGCACATGCTCAGCATGCACAAGGTCCTAGGTTCAATCCCCAGTACCTCCTCTATAAATAAATAAATAAATAAATAAATCTAATTACCCCCCACCCCCCCAAAAAGGAGACAGTAGAATAGGTAGGCATGATGCTTAAGAAACAGATCTGAACTGTAACTATACTTTCAGAAGCTGTCATCACTTAGATAATAATTGAAGGCATGGGCTTCGATAAGATTGCTCTGGGAGAATGCGTAGAGTCAGAAGGGATGATGGCCCAGGCTAGCACTGAACTGTGAACTATAATGAACTGAAGTGGGGAGAGGCTCCTTCAGTGGAAACTGAGAGAGGGTGGCTGGAAAGGAAGGAGACAATTGAAAAAAAAAGTGCTGACATAGAAGTTTAAGGAGAAGGCTTCAAACGTAAAGGGGAAAGGTCAGCCTTGTAAAATTCTACTGGAGTTCAAGTAGAAAGTAATGACAAGGAGGCTGATTGTAAGTGATCTTGACAAAAGCAATTTTAGTGGAGCAGCAGGAGGCAAAGTCAACGTCGTGCGTACAGGAAGTAAGGGAAGGTTAGTAGGAAGGTGAGTGTGGACAAATTCTGTAAAGAGGTTTGCCTGTGAAAGAGGAGAGAGAGCTGGAGGGGCAGAGGGGAATATGTTTTTCAATGTAGACTTAAGCAGGTGTAATTGCTGATAGAAAAGAGTAGAGGGGGAAAGAGAGAGAGAGAGATTGAAGAAATGAGGTAATAAAGTGGGAGAAAATCTATAACTGATAGGGTGAGGTCCCCAGGAAGGCAGAAGGTGGTGGAATTCACAGTCTTGATGGAGACTGGTCACTTTTGTTGTGGAGAGAATGTTTGAAGTTGTGGGTAAGTTTGGTGATAGGACACCGAGAGAGCTGCTATCCAGTAATGGCTTTTGTTTTCTCTGTAATGTCACTGGTGGGGCCATCTGATGAGAGATCGAAGGAGAATTTGTGCCACTGAAGCGTTGAGGACAGTTCAGAAAGGTCTGAGACGCCTGTCGTGGTGAATGGAGAGAGATGACTAAGGAAGCAGGAGGGCCGCAGGTAGCCTCGCGAAGTGGGAAACCACACCGTCATGGTGGTGCCAATCCCAGCAGTCGTGTGCTTTCTTCGGCAGCCTGGCCATGAGTTCAGGAAACATGCATAGGTAGGTGGACCCAGGGTTGGGAGATTTTTGAGGGAGGCAGTGATAGAATGGGGATAGTACAGGGGAGCTGGAGCTATTGGAGGTATAAGGAGATGGTGGAAGTGATGGTCTTTGGACTCAAGACCGTGACTGTGGAAGGCAGTGAAGACAGAGGGGGCTGACGAGGAGAAAGCAGGGAAGGAAGTGTTGATGCTGAAGAACAGATGTAGTGAGAGAACTGACTGCTGGCCCTGGAAGGAGTGGGTGGGGGCCCGAGAGGGCTTGATTTAAATGCCCTTGGTTTCAGAGATGGCGCGCTGTAAGGGAACGTGGCCCAGTGGAGGGGCCCTGGGACTGGGTGAGTGGAGTTGAGTCGAGGGGGGCTCTGGGCTGGCTCAGCAGGGCCCAGTGACTGTAGACCTGGCTCGTGAAGGCACCTCCTGACCGCCCTGAGACGTCTCGGCTCTGGCTGTGGCTTTGGGACCAATTTTGTTCAGATCTGAGACAGCTTTAAGGGGTGAGGAGAATCTATTCTGGCTTCTCTTTCCATTCATGGTTGCTAGAAAATTAAATAAGGGCCCCAGGATTCCAACTTACGGATTTCCCCATTTTTACTTCTGAAAAATAAAAACAAAAAAATGAGAGGACTGAGTAGTTTTTCTTTATATGTCTCGAACATAGTTATTGCTTTGTTGTTGAAAATTAGGTCTCAGAAGTTCATGGGTTTTTAATGTTTCATACCATACATTTAAGTATAATTAACAAGAAAATGAACCTTAAAAATCAGCCATCAACACCAAATGCTGGTGAAGATACAGAGCAACAGGGACTCACTCATTGCAGGCCAGAATGCAAAATGGTCCAGCCACTTTAGGAGACAGTTCGGCACTTCCGTACAAAAGTAAACATACACTTACCATAAGATCTAGCCATTGTGCGTGTTGGTATTTACCCAAAGGAATTAAGAAAAAAAACTTACAGGTTTCCTCCTCCATATTGGATAGTCTCATATCCACCCTGAGTGATTTCTAAACATAGAAATCATCATGCCAATTTCCATTTCCAGAAGAAAAAGACTCCATTGGTTCAAATACAAAAGGTAGAATGTAATGTCAAATGATTCTCCAGGAAGCAAGATGGAAGCTCATCCCTTTGAAGACTGTACTTATAATTTCCATTCAATTCAACTGACTTTAGTGAAAGTCTGCTTTGGGCACTGCCTGGCAGAGGGTGAGTAGGATGTGGTCTGTTCTTGGCACTTAGTAAATGGAGAATATTGGTTACATTTGATCCTCTTTTCCTTGTACCATAGGTCCCATTGAATCCAGGACTTGGTGTAAAGAATGGCGAGCGTTCCTTTCTGAGTGGCACCTCGGAAGCAGACACGCTCGCCCAGGGCTCCAGGCTGACCCCTGTCAATGCAGTTGGGACCCTTGAGCTGAGAAGCCGAAGGAGCCGGGGTAGGAGGTTGAAGGTGGGCTCTGTGGATCTCCCTGAGCCTGGTGGGAGGCCAGCATCTGACAGCTCCAGAGGCACGTCGTGGAAAAACCCTGGCTGTTCATCCCCACCCAGCAGCCCAGCCACGGACTCCCAGCTGCACCTGCCTCCTCCCCACCTTGACTCCGCGGCCAGAATGAAGGTCGTCAGCTGGGAGAACAGCTTTGAGAACCTGGAGGCAGAGACAAATGTTGATACAGGATTCACCGTGGTCAGTTCTGAACCCAGGCGATCTTTTCTGGGTAGATTTCCCAGGCATCTGCAGACCCGCCCACCACCGACCTGCCCGTCAGCCCCTTCCTCAGGGGCAGCTGCTTCCAAAACCAGCAGAATCTTTAAGGAAAGGATCCATCCTTTGTCACTTGCTGGCCAGAGGGATCTTGGTGCAGGGAAGATAATCTCAAAATGTGCCCTTCCTCTGCCAGTCCAGGGTGAAGACAAAGCTGCAGAAGAAGAATTCTTTATATAGCGTAAAACAGCAGTGGTTTTCAAAACACAGGCTCAAATATAATGTTCTGGAGAACTGACCCAGAATGGAGCTAGAAATGGAGCTCTGACTCAGAATCAGCCTGTTTCTTGTTCATCAAAGAGGGCCCGAATGCTAGCCACACACAGATCTAGATCATTTTTATTTCCAGTGTTCAAAGTCTAGCGAGCTGGTGATGAGTTGTTTATTTGTCATCATGGTCGTGAGGGAACACAGCCAACGCACAGGGGGAAAGCCCAGCGCCTCACGTCCTTGGAGGCACACTAACCCAGCTGGGTGTGTTGAGTTCAGCACCTCTCAGGATAATTGCATTGTATGCAATTGAGTGGGGTGCATTATGCAATGCTGATTGGTGTCTGTAATTTGGTTTTAATTTTTTCTTGGGTTGCGTAGCTCATCCCTCCAGACAGCATGGGCTGTTTAGTGTTTTTTAATTTTTATGTGACCTCATTTGGTAACTAGGTCTTGTTCACCACCTACCCTCTAGTGACTTTCGCCTTAAAAGTTGTTTGCATCTGGAATGAGTTAACATGCAAAGTGTTTTGAAAATTACAACCCCCCTTTTTTCCTGTTTAATGAGCAGCAACTCTGGAGCCGAAAAATCAGGTTAAAAATGAAAGCTGGGCTCTAGGGTTTTCTTGCTCCTCATTTTTCATTTGTTTCTGCTCTACTCCGGTGGGGCCAGTGGTTCATGTAATTAAGCAGAGAGGAGTGGACGATTCAAGATCTCCACTGAGTGTGGCAGGAAGAGTGCACTGGTTGGGTCCCTGGAGCAGGACTTGGGTTTTTCTGGCCATGTTCGAATTCTTAAATTGCTTTGCAATGCTCATTCATTCACTCATTTATACATTCATTCATGCAACACATTGTACTGAACATCTGTGTTTGAATAAGACATTGACATATGGTATATACATTCTGTGGTCATCAAACTCCAAATTTGTTTATGGTTTTACTGTATGACAAATCCATTCTATCAACTCTCAAGAACATGTTGAAGTTCAAACTTACACCTCTGGGAAACTTTTCCACCAGTGATTCCCACACTTGACGTACAAGGCTGCAGTAAGAATTCACAACCTGTGGATGGAGACTGGGCATATTATGAATTACAATTATAATCATAATGGACAAATTCTCAGTTGCTCATATGACATATTGTCTGATTGGATCTATACATACATTTAAAAAAAAATCTGTGGTCTGTGTGTTTCAGCTAATTTGTAAGATTATTTGACTTCACAAACTTCACTTTCCAGAACAGCTGTTACATGATTATAAATGCTGGGTTAGCTGAAAATTTTTGAGACCCCCAATACTTAATTCATCCAGTTGGAGAGAAGAATGAGTTCAGGCTTAAGGATGAATCTTAAATGGCAGGTAGACTGGGCTGAGTTTGGGTGCTCTGTCCCCCTAAAAGAATAAAAATGGAGAAGAGCTACAAATGGACAAAGGCGTGAGTTCTCAGTGGATTGCTTGTGTCCTTACATCATCAATATATTCTTACCCTCATTTGCTTTCTTTCCCTCAGATTAAAGTTAGATCTTAGAAACCAGGCTGAAGAACTTACTTTTGGTATGGTTCCTGTAATAAGAGTTTTTTAAAAATGAAAATCTTATGTAAGTTGAACTATTGAGCTGCCTTGAAAAGCACAGCAAGAAGTCCTGAAATTTCTTTCCCAATTTTTTGAGGTTATCTAAATTTCTGTAACGTAATACATGGGTAAGAATATAAGTACGTGGAAATCGCAAAGACTATTGAGGAATTTGAATGAGTAACTTACAAAAATGACTTATATTCTTAAAATGTCACCTCCTCTATCCTACTCACTAGAGGAATCCAATTTACAAAGTGGTGGGATGGATGGAAATATCAGTGGGCTAGGTGGCAGAAGCCCTGATTTTGGTCTCAGTTTTAAAATTTACTATTTATATGTGACTTTGAACTCTTTGATCTGTTACTTTATCTTCTGTACCATGGTTGTCTGGAAAATCAAGATTATGTATATGAAGGGGTTTGGATGTTGTTAAGCACCGTAAATATGTTAGCTATTCTAATTACAAATGGCCCTTCATACCCACATTTTTAAAACGTCTTGACAACAAAGGCCTTTTTTTGAAACAACCTTTAATAAAAACAATGATACCATTAAAAAAAAAAAAAAAGAAACCCAATCCTAAGATTTTTACTGTGTGTCATTTATGTTTATATATTTAGGAGGAAAATTATGGATAGAAAGGATCAGATACATCCTAAAGTTCAAAAGAGATTATATATAATGAATAAACTATGAACTAGTTTAATCCAATTTATCAAATTATCCAGACTCTTAATTATACTGAAATGTAAAATGTATCACAAAGGACTCCCAATGATCAGATAATTTTATATGTTTATAGATATATTAAAAACGTTGCATTTCAGTTGTTTGGCTATTTTTTTTTCTGTTAACATGTCATAGGTTTATAAATGTTTTAAAATGTGTTTTTTAATTGAAGTACCATTAGTTACAATGTGTCAATTTCTGGTGTACAGCACAACATCCCAGTCATGCATCTACATACATTTATTTGTTTTCATATTTTTTTCATTAAAGGTTATTGCAAAATACTGAACATAGTTCCCTGTGCTATACAGCAGAAAGTTTTTTTAAAGCTGTTTTTAACCTTAATAGTATTTCACATTTTTTTTGCAAGCATTATTTAGATATTGCTAAACTTTAATAGAAATGGTAACATTTGGAAACTTGCAAATGTGTTTAAGTGAAGTAGATCAGGGGATTTGCGGGGTTTGTGGAGACAGGGAAGCAGAGGGACACACTGTGATTTACGAAGGGAGGTGGAGCAGGTGCCTCCACTGCACCCCATCTGTCCTCGGATGTGGCGGTGTTACCGAGTCCCAGCTGGTACTGCTCGCCGCACAACAGGCCAATAAATCGAGAGATGAGTTGTTGGGGCAAGGAATAGCCACTTTATTAAAAAAGCCAGCAGACCAAGACAATGGTGGACTGGTGTCCCAAAGAACCATCTTGCCTGAGTTTTGGATACTAGTTTCTTTTATAGAACAAAAAGGGGGAGGTGAAGAGATAAACTAAAAAAGCAACGTCGTTGCAAATATTTCCTGGTGGTGGCCGGACTCCGGAGGGGATGTGTTAATTCCTTCTTTCCTGCAGCCATTCACTGAAGGCCTGGTTAAGATGTTTTCTGTGGGCTAAACAGAAGTATTTGTAGCAAAAGCAATGGAATGCAAAGGCTAAAGTAAAAGAAACAGATCCAATATGGAGTCAGATTTGTTCTTCTCTATTACAATGGGTTCTTCCCTATGACAGTGGGACTTTGTGGAGGTGACCCTGCTCCTTCCACCACTTTGCCAACAAACTGGTTTCACACAGCAGGTGCTGACTGCACAGAGAGGGATGGAAGAAAGAGTGGGAGGAGGTGAAAACGCCTTCCTTCCCTCCCAGAGAAAGATGGAGAGAGAATGGGGCCACAAGTACACACCCATTTTCTCTTTGGAAACTCTTAAATTTCATCTCCACGTTACAAAACCTAGTCAGAAATTCCTGGAATAACTTAACACCAGCTGCCTTTCTCCTGTCTCCTCTAAGCCAGAATGTTTGGGGTTTTCTCTCCCTTTTCCTTTCTCTTCCTTCTCCCTTTTCCTCGTGTGTGTGTGTGTGTGTGTGTGTGTGTGTGTGTGTGTGTGTATGATTTTGAACCCCTCTTCATTCTTTACTTTGTTAAAAACACATTGTCTTTGCAGCATCTCCCAAGATTCCTCAAGGGTTTGACCCATCTCTGCAACTTCTAATGAGCCCCCTGGCTAAGCTCTGAGAGCATCAGAAAGATCCGCTCCTTCTCTGAGGAAAGTCTTCCTACTTTCCAATTCATCCTTGGGATTCCACTCTGGGCCAATGAACCCCACATCACTTAGAAACAAGCTGGTCTTTCCACCTACAGCACTCTCCTTTCACTCTGCTGCAACCTTTCTCTGAAGTTTTCAAGCATGTCACACAATAAGCAATGGAAGATATTGTCTGTAATCTGTGACAGGAAAACAAAAGGCGCTTATGGCCCCAGGGAGCAGATAATTAGGATTGATGTCATGAAGAACCCGATCCCGCCAAACTGTGTTTCCGATCTATCATTTCAAAAGTTGAGTTATTCCAGAGAATCTATCTGAGCTACTGAAGACACAACAAGGTCTCTGCTTAGCATGAGCTGTGTATTGCATTTGCAAATTCCACTTACGCTGCAGATGTTTTTGAGGTGTTTCTTTTAAGAACAATAGTTCTAAAAAGGTACAGTAAATACTAAATCCAAACTGATGATGGTTGACCCGAGAACTTCCTCTCCAGGAGGTTCACACTTTAGGATTTCCATCTTTACACCAATCCTGCGGAGGCAGGAGCTACAATGATCCCCATAATACAGGGGAGAAAACCAAGGCACAGAGAGGTCAAGAGCCTAATCTGAAATGGAGCAATGACTAAGTGGCTGGATTGGGATTCGAATTCTGGTTGTCAGGCGGGAGTCTGCACCCCTGTTGCTGGTGATTAGGTTCTTGTTGCAGAAAGAATTCAGAGAAGAGACACAGAGGTCCAGAAAGTAAGTGAGGAATTATTAAGGGACGGCTAGTGCATTCTCAGGGGGAGAGCGGGCAGGCTCGGGTGAGCAGCTGTGCTGAGTTTCTCTGGCAAGTTGATTACACAGGATGTAAACATGAATGGGCGGAATAGTCATGGTGGACGGAAGGGCTTGGGGTCATTGTCCCTGATTTTCATCCCGGCTCCACCTTCCCAAAGGGAAGGGGGATGTTTGCCCTTATTTAGTCTGTTTCAGGTGTCATGATGTCAGTGCATCATGGGTACTTCTAATCTGCAAGGTTAATTTCATTGAAATGAGGGCATAATGAGCAAAAGGTTACACTCAGACACTGGAGATTCCTGCCTTTTCCCACATTTTTTGCCTGCCTCCAGGACACCTGTCACCCGAAAACGTGTGATGTCATATCAGTCCTGAGGTTCCTGCTTTCCTCTGTCTGGTCCAAGGACCCCTGTTGTTCAACAGATGTATGGTTTCCTGCCACTTGGCCCACGCCCCGCCTTTCTCTGCTCATATCTAGCAATCCGCCTGCTCTAACATAACTATGTTACTGTCCTGACCCTCAAAAGGGGGTGCAAGAAGAAGGGAGATCTCCACTTCTTTGCAGCACCACTAGACTCCACACTGCGTGCCCCGACCTGGCTTCCCTGCTGCTCCTCAAGCACAGCCCGGACCTGCCCTGCTGGGCTCCATCTTGCCCTTTAGATCTCAGATTAAATCCCTTGTTAAGAGGGACCTGACCAGAGGGCACCAGCCCCTGTGGCTGTGCCAGGACCAGAGTAGATGCTGTTACATGTATTTTCAGCGAATGCACAGCAAGAGGTGGGAACACAGATCAGGCTTCCATTCTCTAGAAGCCAGAGATAAGAGATTGTCTCAGTCATCTGGGGCTGCCATCACAAAATACCACACCTTGGGGGGCTTAAACAACACACATTTATTTCCCACAGCTCTGGAGTCTGGGAAACCCGAGCTCAAGCTGCCAGCTTGGCTGGGTTCTGATGTGAGCTCTTGTCCAGTCTTGTAGCAGGACACTTTCTTGCTGTGTCCTCACGTGGCAGAGAGAAAGAGAGAGAGAGAACTCTCTCATATCTCTGATTTTTTTAAAAAATTGAGGTATAACGACATATAACACTATATTAGTTTCAGGCGTGCAACATAATGATTCCCTATTTGTATGTATTGCAAAATGATCACCACAATAAGTCTAGTTAACATTTGTCACCATACATGATGACAAAATTTTTTCTTGGGATGAAGATTTTTAAGATGTGCTCTCAGCAACTTTCAAACATGCAATCGAGTATTATTAAGCGTAGTCACCACGCTGTGCAAAAACACCCCTCCACTTACACTTCCTCATCTCTTATGAGGGCACTAACCCCATCCACGAGGACTGCGCCCTCATGACCTAATTACCTGCTGAAGTTCCCGCCTCCAGCTCCCACCACGCCGGGGTTAGGGCTTCCACATTTGAATATAGCATTTGCATCTTGGCATTTTCTCTTGCTTTGCGCCGTGGTCTAAATCACGAAATTAAGCATGGCAGTTTCAGCAGGACTTTGTAGTGGGCTGTGTAAATGCATACTTTGTTTTTCAGCCTATTGTCAATGTGTCACTAGAGGGCACTGTTGTGACATAATCGACTCACTATGGGGCCACCTCCAAGCTTTTCCCCGTTGCTTCAACCCATGAACACAAAGTAGATATTGTTCAATTATGTCCAGAAAATTTCCCCATAGGAGTCTCGGTGGAAGGCAGAGCCCACTGGAAATACCTTCCATCCCCGTGTCCCCCTGACGTGGTCACAAGGCCTAGACTTCACCAATCATATGTCCTCCCCTGGAGTTTTGCTGCGGGAAAACTTCTTTAGGGTCGGGGATGCGGGCTGCCCTCCCAGGGACAAGTGAAGTCAGTCTTCGGCTTCGGAGCCCTCAGCCCACTCGGGTGCAGGGGCCTGGTGTCGGCGGTGAGTCATCCTCCTTTTGTTCTTTGGCATTTTCTGAGCCAGTTTTCCAGCCTTCTGATAAATTCATTCTCAACTTGAATCAGCTACAATCAATTCTATTTTTGCACCAAATAACCGAGATTGATACAGTGTGAAACACTGATAGAGGTTAGGGCCAAGTACAAAATTGGGGCACATTGTTAGGGAATTGCATTTTCAAAGGGGTAAACAAAGATGTTGAAAATCAGTCATTTGAGGATTCAATATCTCTTTGAAGTTCTTTTGGCTTTGATTCTTTTGACTCTTCCTTTTCATTGCTTCTTTCTTCTCCCTCACAGTAGTCAGGAGACCTACCCCCGCCCCTTTAGTCGGCTGAGGAGGCAGGATGGCACTCACAGAGCGGGGGCAGGGTCCCTTCTGAGAAGCAGGGCTGCCTCTAGACTCTTGTCCAGGGAAGACAAAAGAACCTTCTGTGCTACACATGGTCTGGTTTAGTCATCAGGACAGAATTGGTTAGAGCCCTTTCATTGATAAGCAAGAGAGACTGAGAACTAGCTTACACAGAAAGAGGAAAGAAGGAAAGCTACTGAGTCATTTCAATAAAGGCCAGCTTCAGGAAACCACCGTCTCAGTATCGCATCCCACCAGTGTAGCCCCCTAGTGGAGAGAGGGAGTATCTTCTCAGAGTTTCAGAGGAAAATTCCCAGACAGGGCTCTGATTGGCCTGGCCTGGGTCACATGACCCTTCCTGGGCCAATCACTGTGTCTGGATGGTGGGGTTCTCTGACAGGTGAGGCTGTGGATCTGTGTCTATTTATGTGAATGAGATTTGGTGGGACACCTGGGCAGAGTCAGCCACATGAGCAACATGTGGGTCCACAGAGGAAAGGGATTATTTTATTAATCAGAAGAAGTGAGAAGAGATATTAGTAGGCGACA